AAGAATGTCACCAATGTCACTAAGTGGTACATGTCCACTACTCATCTATCAGTTTGTTGTAGGTGATGGCTTGCATGCTGCTGTGATCCTGAAAGTTATGCCACTGGTATTTTAAGTACCAGCAGGGTTACCCATGGAGGACAGGTTTCAGAGGAGCTTCCAAATGAAGACAGGAAGAAGGAGAGATGGACTACTTCTGAATATTTAGTCACTGAAAGCCTAATGAAAGCAGTGGAGCATTGTTGGCTAACACCAAAATATGGAATATTGAAACATGATGAAGAGCACCAAAATACTGTCAGATATAGTGCCGGAAAATGAGCCCATCAGGTTGAAAGGCACTCAAACTATGTCTGGGAAAGAGCTGCCTCCTCAAAGTAGAGTTGACTGTGATGATGTGAATGTAGTAAAGTTTTGGAGTCTTTCATTTGCTCATGGGATAAAATTCAAAATAAGGAGAAACAGCTGCAAACATCCATTCATAAATGAAACATGGAAAGTATGATGCATGTGAAAGTTGGACAATGAATAAAGAAGACCATAGAAGAACTGATGCATTTAAGTTAAGTTGTTGGAGGAGACTATTAACAGTACAATGGACCTTCAAAAGGGCAAATAAATCTGTGTGGGAGGAAGTACAGCCAGAACGTTCCTTAGAAGCCAGAATGGTCAGACTTTGTCTCTCATAGTTTAGACATACTATAAGGAGGGACCAGTCCCTGGAGGAGGACATCATGCTTGGTAAAATGGAGGGTCAGTGAAAAACCCCAATGAAATGGGTTGGCAGAGTGGCAGCAGCAATGGTCTCATGCATCACAATTGTGAAGTTGGTGCGGGACTGGCAGTGTTTTGTTCTGTTGTGCATAGGGTCACTATGAGTCGTTACTGACTTGACAGCACCGAACAATAATAACAACAACCATAGTCTTGGAGTTTTCCAAGACTATGGTCCTGAGCCCCCAGTAACTCATTCCCTCAATGTGTTTAACTATGACTCAGAAGTTTGCCCCGTTTGCTTTACTATATTCAGAGATACATTTACAGCACATATAAATATATTTGAAGAAATATCCTCTGTCAAATCTATGTACATACACCCACAAATACATATATATATTTGTGAGTGTAATCCCATTCATCTTCTCATCCTTGCTCAGTTTAAATGTCTATCTATATATCCATTCATAGATTACTGTTGCTACTGTTTTTCAGGATTGGGTATGTAATAGTGTTCACTTTCGGTGCCTTTAAGTCTTCTATTCCTCCCAATGTCTTCCCATGTCTTGATCGTTTTTTGTTGATCTCTCCCTTATTGTATTCTGCCTTTCCTTTCACCCATGCTAATGCCTCTGCCCTCTAATTAGTTATTTACCCTCCCAGTTCTAATAACCCTTTACTTGACTTTTTATTGTAGTGTTCTCCTACGATATTTGTCCTTTTGTGATTGACTAATTGCACTCGGCATGATGTCCTCTCAGTTCACCCACGTTATAAGGTGGTTTGCAGATTTGTCATTATTCTTTAAAGTTTTGTTGTACTCCATTATGTGTATCTACTGTCACTTCTATATTTATCCATTGTTGGACATTTAGGTTGTTTCTATCTTTTTGCTCTTTGAATGAATAGTATATATTTGTGTGTATACATCTGTTCCGGTCACAGATCTTATTTCTCTATAATATACAACTAGTAGTGGGATTGCTGGATAATGCCACTTATCTATTTCCAATTTTTTGAGGCAGCTCCATGTTGTTTTCCACAGTGGTCGCATCATTGTACTGCTTCATGAGCAGTGTAGGAGGGTTTCAGTCTCTCAACATTTTTGCCAGTGTTAATTGTTTTGTTTTTCTGAACTTTGCTATTAATATTGGGGTGAGATGACAATCTCATTTTTGTTTTGATTTGCAGCTCTTTAATAGCTAATGATCAAGGGCATTTCTTCAGATGCTTGATGGCAGCCTGAATGTACCAATGTCACTGTACTGTACCAACAGTCACCAGGCTGTATAATAGATTTTATGATTGGGAATTGTGAGGTCTTCTACTTTGTTTTTCTTCTTTAGTAGTACTTTGATTAACCAGTTTCTCTTTCCTTTCTATATAAACTTAAATATTAGTTGGTTTTTCACATTTTTTAAATGTTTATTGTGAATTATGTAATAGTTTACATGGGAGAACATTACCTTTACATTCATTCTATCTTATATCGTTTCATTACCATGGTTACAATCCCCTCCATTTTAACATCTTTTTAAAGAATGATGATTGAATCTGGTTCGGTATTACATTATATCTATACATCATTTTGGGTAATGTTAACATAGTCACAATAATAAATCTTCCTATCCATGAGTATGGTATATTTTTCCAGTTATGCAGATCTCTACTGATTTCTTAAAGCAGTGTTTTGTAGTTTTCTTAATATAGGGCTTTTGGATCTCTGGTTAGATTTATTTTGTGTAGATATTGTAAATTGCATTGTTTACCTGACTTCCTTTTCAGAGTTCTACTTGTTTTTGTAGAGGGATCCTACTGATTTGTGTATGTTGATCTTGTATACCCTGCCATTACACTGTATCCTTCTATTAATTGCATTAGTTTTCTTGTTGAACCTCTGAGACTTTCTATATATCAGATCCTACCACTCATATGTCAGTTTCCTGTACTGTGGTGGATTGCGTGCTGTTGTGATTATAGAAGCTATGCCATAGGTATTTTAAATACCAGCAGGGTAACTGATGGTAGACAGGTTTCAGCTGAGCTTCCAGACTAAGACAGACTAGGAAGAAGGAGAGACAGACTAGTTCTGAGCACATATAGTCATTGAAAATCTTATAAATAACAGTGGAACACTATCATCATCAGATTATTGAATATTGAAACATGATGAAGAGCACCAGAATATTATCACATATAGTGAGAGAAAATGAGTGCCTCAACTTGGAAGGCACTCAAAATATGACTGGGGAAGAGCTGCCACCTCAAAGTAGAGTTGACTGTGATGATGTGAATAGAGTACAGCTTTCAGGATCTTCATTTGCTGATGGGGCACAACTAAAAATGAGAAGAAACATCCATTAATAATTGGAACATGGAATGCATGAAGTATGAATCTAGGAAACCTGGAAGTTGTTAAAAATCAAATGGAACACATAAACATTGATATCCTAGGTACTTGTGAGCTGAAAAACAGTGGTATTGGCCATTTTGAATCTGATAATCACATGGTTTACTATGCCAGGAATGACAAATTGAAAAGGATTCATAACATAACATAACATCATATTGATCATCAAAAAGAACATTCCAATACATATTTTGAAGTATAATGCTATCCATGATAGAATAATATCCATACACCTACATGAAAGACCTGATGGAGTCCTGGTATGGCACTATGGGTTAATGTGCTGGACTACAAAGTTGGTTTGAACTTCAAGGCCAGCAGTTCAAGCTCACCAATCACTCCTCAGAAACCCTATGCCGACTCAATGGCACTTACCACCAACAACAACAACATGAAAGACCAGTTAGTGCAAGTATTATTAAAATTTATGCCCTAACCACTAAAGCCAGTGATGATGAAATTGAATATTCTACCAACTTCTTCAGTCTGAAATTGATCAAACATGCAATTAAGATGTATTGATAATTACTAACAACTAGAATGTAAATGTTGGAAACAAAGAGAAAGGATCAGCAGTTGGCAAATATGGCCTTGGTGATAGAAACAATGTTGGAGATTGCATAATAGAATTTTGCAAGACCAATGACTTGTTTATTGCAAATGCCTTTTTAAAACAACATGAAAGACAACTATACACATGGACCTCACCAGGTGGAATACACAGAAATCAAATTGACTACATCTGTGTAAAGAGATGGCCAGAAAAGACCTGGGACAGACTGTAGAACAGACCATCAATTGATCATATGCAAGTTCAGACTGAAGCAGAAGAAAAGGAAAACATATTTTGACATGAGAGTCAAAATATGACCTTGAACATATCCCACCTGAATTTAGAGATTATCTCAAGAACAGACTTGATGCATTGCTAATGACCTGAAACCAGAGGAGTTGTGAAATGACATCATGAACATCATTCAGAGAGAAAGCAAAAAGGCACTAAGATAAGAAAGAAGGAAAAGACCGTCAGGAGAGACTCTGAAACTTGCTTTCCACAATAGAAATGCTAAAGTAAATGGAAGAAATGAGGAGTTAGAAGGGCTGAACAGAAATTTTCAAAGGGCTACTCAAGAAGAGAAAGTCAAGTATTGTAATAAAATGTGCAAAGACCTGGAGTTAGAAAACCAAAAGGGAAGTATATGCTTAGCATTTCTCAAGCTGAGGGAACTGAAGGAAAAACATAAAACCTCAATTTGCAATATTGAAGGCTTCTATAGAAAAAATGTTGAATGATGCAGAAAGCATCAAAAGAAGATGGAAGGAATCATAGTACCAAAAAGAAATGGTCAATGTTCAACCATTTCAAGAGGTAGCATATGATCAAGATCCAATAGTACTGAAAGGAGAATTCCAAGGTGCATTGAAGGTATTGGCAAAGAACAAGGTACTGAGTACTGATGGATTACAAATTTAAATCTTTCAACACATGGAGACAGTTCTTGGAGGCACTCACTCATCTACACCAAGAAGTTTGGAAGGCAGCTAACTGGCCAACTGACTGCAAACGATTCATATCTGTGCTCATTACAAAGAGAGGTACTCAGTGGAATGCAGAAATCACTGGTCAATATCATTAATATTACATGCAAGTAATATTTTGCTAAAGATAATTCAAGTCAGTTATTGTTAAGTGTTAGAAAGTTGATTCCAACTTATAGGGAACCTACTCCCAACGACCCAGTGGTTTCCGAGGAGCAGCAAGTGGGTTTGAACTGCCTACTTGCTGTTCCCAGTTCAGTGATCTACAGCACCATACCAGGGGTCATTTTGTTAGTAAGAAGGATTTTCATACCAACTTTTAATTTTGGAGACTATGGAGGATGCAAAAGGCAAAGAGTGGAACTCTACAGAGAAGCCAGAGTGTGTGACTCTTAAATTTGAACCTGTGCCATTAGAAACTGAACAACAGGCTTCTAATGAACCAAGCACATCAGCTTTGCCAAAAACCTCAGTTAAAGCCATCAAAAGAACTCTGAAAGAAGAAAAAGCTTCCTGTTCACAAAATGCACAAGGCAGTAATGGGCAAAAAAGTCAAAAGATTCCAGTTCCTCCACTACCAGAAAAACTGCCACCCATTAACCTGGTTCATCGTGACACTGTGCGGGCCTGGTGCCAAAAATTAAAACTGAGCTCCAAAGGGCAGAAATTGGAAGCATATAGAAGACTCTGTGAGCATGCTTACCCAGATCAAAAGTTAAAGGATATTCCTGCCACAGCAAAGGAAGCCAAGGTCCAGATGTGGTTAAAAAAGAAATCAAATGTGTGCGTGGGGAATAGGCCTCTGAAGACTGAGAAAAGGAAGATCAGTTCTGCAGAGACTGATTCTCCTGAAGTGGCTCCTCCCACTGAGGAGATGGGGGCACCTGCCCTTGAGTATACTCTCCCAGAGGAAGTTAATCCAGCACAAGAGACTTGTGGTATCAGGTGGTGTGTGGTACATGGAAGAAGTCTCCCTGCAAACACAAATGGTTGGGTTCACCTACAATTTCATGCCAGACAAGTCTGGGTTCCTGAAAAGCCAGGGAGAGTGTGTGCTCTCTTCCTGTTACCTGCCTGCAATTTTCCACCTCCCCACCTGGA